ACTCACCCCATTCCAATCCAAACCCCCCTAGACCTTCATTTATCTTTAGAATACAAATTAAGATAATTTAGGAGAAATCTGAGAGTTTCCTCATCCTCCATAGACAGAAAGTTTCCCAACTCAAAGTCCAGAAAAAAACATTGTCAAAATGGACCATATGCGGTCCAGTGGTTCATTTGTAATGTTATGATGCTATGAGAATACATTTGTGCACACAACCTGTAAAACAAAAATAACAACTTTATTCAAAAGTTTGAATGAGTTGGCAACCTTGCTGTCCATGGAGGATAAAGAAACTCAGATTTCACCTAAATTATCTAAATGGAAATGTAAGTTTCTTCTTAGTGTCAGTATATTGCATGCCCATAGCCAGGGGGGGTTCGGGTGGTTCGAACAAACCACCCCCCACGGCCAAAACGTCCAGAATTTGTCCTTTTAATTATTTTATGTAATTTAATATTATATAATATATTTATTATATAATTAATATATTTATATTCGATATATATCGTAATAAAGTGTAATTTTAAATAACTCAGTAATTCGAATGCCATAGAGCCTCAAAGCCACAATAATGTGACGCCAGTCATGTGACATAACCCACTGAGTGGTCACATTTAAATCTTTGATACGACATCCATGGTGAGTTACGCTGTTGGTTGAAAAGAGCAAGGAGGCAGAAAAGGCAGGCAGCAGCGTCATTATTGCAAAATATTGAACATATGTTCATAAAGACTGCCAAACAAGTGACTTACTTCCTAACAGATGAAAATCTGCCCCTGAGGTTCTAGGCTAACTGGCCGCATTAGCCTGGACGTCCTGTATATTTATTGACTTGTCCAGTACATGATCTCCCTTTCCCTATTTTTGACATTTTTTAAATAACTGCCCGATGAAGGCTTTAATGACAGGCGGAGTCCTCAGCCGTCAGATGTCACTTCACAGCAAAAGGCGCTGATCCCGTCACATCTGTGTTTTTGAGGCTGTTTGCTCACTTATTCTGATCGGATATAAACTCGATCGCTCAAACCACTTCAGAGGGTGATTTGGGATGCATTCCAGGTGAAGCTGGATAGGTATTATCATTTTTTGGACAAAATTAATATAAACTAAATAAATTATGACCTTAAGAAAATCTGACCTGCGCCTAAACACATGTAGGCGCACATTTACAGCCAAAATCCTATTAAAACTTGTTTACTATAAGCATAAAACATGTTCTAACTTTTCAGGCCTGTAGCCAAGGGGTGGGGGGAGGGGGGGATGGGGACCCACCCCTCACTGACAAAGGTACAGAATTTGTCCCAAATTAGCTCATTTGTCCTATTTTCATACTATTTTGACTGCTATGCCACCATAAATAATGAAAATAATCCATCGAAAAAGGCTTTATTTATTTTTTAACCAAAGAGGCTAGAAAAAAAATCTGAAGAATTCATTATTATTGTATTATTATTATTATTATTATTATTATTATTATTATTATTATTATTATTATTATGTTTTAATTATTATTTTTTATTGAACTGGCTAAACTGTGACTGAGGACAGTTGAATGTGCTGGCCAGTTTGTTTTTTGTCTAATAAATGACAGTAGACTACAGTTTTTTTTTTACTTTAAAACTTTAACAGATTGCTATTTTTTCCTAATGACATATGATGTAATAAATTTGTATTTTAAAGATTAGTCTTGTTTGAATTTTTTCTAACTGCAATTTTTAGGAAATATTTTTAGTACATCAAAAAGTGTGGTTATGATGACATCTGACTAGCTAATCCAGCTAAAAAGTCACTAAAATGCAGCATTTAAATCTCATAGTTTAATAGAAACGGAGGCGTATAACTTTATACTGTTATAAAGTTATACTGTGTGTGCGCACAAAAGTGTTCTCACAGTGTCTTAATATTCTGATTAAACCACGGAAAGCATATAGTCTGTTTTGAGAATTTTATTTTATTTTTTAACTTTGAGTTTGTATCCTTGCTGTCTATGGAGGATGAGGAAACTCAGATTTCACATAAATATCTTATTTTGTGTTTTAATGATGATTGAATATCTTAGGGGATTGGAACGACATGAGGGTGAGTAATTAACATCATTTACATTTTGTGGTGAAATAACGCTTTAACGAGTTTTACTCGAGTTTTACTTATTATAGTAGTATCTTAAATAGCTTGCGCATAATCTGGTGGACAGGTTTTATTTTATTTTTGCTGATTTCACACGACATATAAATGCATTTACTCTGCTTTCTGTGGATTTATTAGGGTATGCACTGTATGTTTGATAACAGGAACATATTCTTACTGTAGATTTGAACCCATTCAGACATATAGTACATATTTTTGCACAGTAGGTAGAAGAAATTGACCACAAACTCAGACACTGTGATCTTGTGTAGCAGAAAATACCGCAGTCTCATCCTGAAAAGATTATATATGGTGTTTCTTTTAAATATGTTGTTATTGTGATAACTGACATAAAGTAAATACCAATATAATAATTTAGATATGCAAAAGAATTTAGATCTTGATGTCACTACGACCAGATGATGTATTATGAATGATGTCCTGTAATCATGTTTTAAATCATGTTTTAGGTGGTTATTCACAAACTAATGACATTTTTGAAACCGGCAGATTGTACAAAAGCATGGCAATGATTATATCCTGGAGCACACCCCAACCTTGCACAAGGAGCTTAAGGGAGTGCCATCCAGTGAGGCTGCCTTGCTTTTCTTACAGGACGTGTTTACCTTGATCGATGTGCCCGTCACCGTCTATAGACTCTTCAAAGTTAGTCCCTTTTTAAACTATTTTTAACTGTCCACTTTTCTAAGAAGAGTAGTAATGAAGTTTCAGTAAGCAGTACTTTCAGAAGCATTGGTTAGTTTAGAGTTTAGTCATGGAAGATGCTTGATCTGGATTTTATGTTTATATCTGATAAGAGCCTGAGTACTTCTACAATGGTATTCTGTCAAACTGAAGTTGTGCTGCATACTTTCAGAACTATTATTACATTTTAATTCAGCTCCAGGTTTTGAATTGAGGTATTTCAACAGAATGCTATTTAACTGTAAGGGAAATAATTAATCTGTTCATTTTTTTTCTTACTAAAAAAAACTTTACTATAAAAAAAACCACAAAATTACAAATTACGGTAACACTTTATTTTGATGGTCCTTATTGCACATTTTGCTGACAAAGTTGCATTGCAACTACATTTACTTCTACATTACTTCTCATTTGAGTATTGGTAGATTGTCTGCTTGATATCTGTTGATACTGCTCCTTCAGGCGTTTAACTGACTATAAGAAACTTTGCAAGTACATGTTAATTTACACTAACCCTAACCCCAACCCTAATCCCAACCTAACAGTCTACCTATACTCTAATGAGAATTAGTTGACATGTAGATGCAATTTAACTTATATTTAACAAAATGCGTTAAAGGGACCATCAAAATAAAGTGATACCAAAATTACACACAAATTACAAAAATACTTGTTAATGGCAATTCGCAATACATTTATTACAGAATGCATAAATCTTTGTAAATATCAGTAGCAAATTTGTGTAAATTAGATTGCATTACATAAAGTCAACAGACATTAACTACCAGTTTTGTTTTTAACATTGGCACAAAGATCAGAAGGTACAAAAGCAACTTCTGGAAGTTATTTGGACAGAAATGTGTGTAGGTACATATTGGAGAGTGATATAAAACACAAGAAGTCTCTTTTTCCCTGGCGTTAAAATAGGATCAAAATCCCTGCAATTTTGAGGCTCACCACAACATAACAGCATAACATCACACACCATCACCCAGAGAATTGACTGACAGTTAAATTGATTTAAGCACTTATTGTGAAAATAAGAAATGTTGTCATTTAGAGCAGTTTTGCATATAATTGCTGAAAAATAAGATTTTAGATTGTTATTTCTATTTTTAGGCAATATGATACCATTTGTTTTAAATGAACAGTAAAGAAATTAATATGGTAGAATATCTCTGTATTTCAATCACAACACATGTCTAATGAAAATGTGGGACTTTTTCTTTAGATTATTCACATGAGAAAAACTACCTGATATGGCAGAAACTATCTTTGGGAAAAAACGTGAGGTTAAATTTCATTTTAAGCTCTCAAAGGGCAGGGCTTAAAGATTGCTCCAACCCACCAACAGGGGGCGATGGAATCAAAAACGTATACATTTTTAGGACACTTAATGGGGATTTTGAGGTGACACTACTATGTCATAGTTTTTTATAGCTTCCGCTTAACATTTTACATAATGTAACTATATTTAGGTTTTATAAGCTGTTTATGTGTCAAAATTGATCCAACAAAGAATTAATTGCCACAAAGATTATTTTCGGCAATAATTCAAAAGTCAATAAAAGTATCCACCAACTTAGCCAGCACGTTTTTACACAGCGGATGCCCGTCCAGCCGCAACCCATCTCTGGGAAACTTCCACACACACTCATTCACACTCATACACTACGGACAATTTAGCTTACCCAATTCACCTGTACCGCATGTCTTCTTTGGACTGTGGGGGAAACCGGAGCACCCAGAGGAAACCGTTGCGAACGCAGGGAGAACATGCAAACTCCACACAGAAACGCCAACAGAACCAGCCCAGGCTTGAACCAGCGACCTTCTTGCTGTGAGGCGACAACACTACCTATTGTGCCACTGCATTGCCGATTTGAATGTTGATTATGATTATTGATAATGATTGATGATGAAAATGATTTTCAATAGTATTTCAGCACACTTTGAGCTGTAATATTATAACTATTTGGCTTTTTGCATCTGATAGAGCGCTTGGACTCAGGCAATGCTAACAAAACAAAACAAAAAACAGACAATCTTCATTTAGTTGACCTTACAAACCATGAATCAAACATTTATCCTACCAGAACTGATCAAATTCTCTCTCTCTCTCTCTCCATTTCTGGTCTTCCCTATTCCTTCTGTCTCAGGGAAAGAGGAAAACACAAAACTGTGTCATCTTGGGCCTGACATCAACAGGACTGCAGATCTCTGAGGTAAGAATTTAAGGCTTGCCATACACACACATCAAATCCATTACCATAGAATTGTTTATACACTTTGATCTGGTCAAAATGGCAGAACCTGACCTGAGACAGAATAGACGTTAAAGGCATAGTTCACCGAAAATGAAAAATCTGTCGTTATTCACTCACCCTTTACTTCTTTCAAAATTGGAACAACCCGAAAACTTGTAACCATAAACTTCCATATTATTTACTATGGAAGGCAATGGTATCAACTTTCTTCAAAATATCTTCTTGGAACCAGTTGAGGAAGTGTAAATAATGAGTCAATTGTAATTTTTAGGTGAACTATACATTTAATGTCAGTTTAATTTAACTGTTTACTCACCCTCAGGTTATCCAAGATACAGTCAATTGATTTTCGCTCATTAAATAAGATTTGTTTTTGCAGAAACATGGCAAACTTTTGTAAAATGTAGCTACCAACATTTTTTTATAGGTATACAGACAGAAAAAAACGAATAGCAATGAGTCCTCAGGAAGTGAAGCAATTAATATGTCCAAGAAACTCAATATTATTAACCCTCAAGTGTTATACAGTATGTTTTCCTCCTCCAAAATAGATGCTGAATGGAGAACATCAGTTTCTGTATAATTTGCCGTGGTCCACCATTAATTCCATTAGCTTTCAGGTGATCTTGTAATCAGTTTTATATTATGCACTATGTATATTATGTCAGAGACCACTTTTGCATCTTTTAGTCGTTGTCTTTGTTGGTCCACAGGGCAGAAAGTTTGAGATTCGTGCTGAGGTCTTGTTTGAGAAGAGTTTGCGATTGTTCAGTTGTTCAATCCTTCATGCCAAGCACCTGCTCCAGCACATAAGCAACAGTCACCGAATGCATCTCAACACCAAGCGGTTGATTGCACAATCAGGTCACACCATCACAAGTCTCTACAAGTCATTTTCACACCTCTTTGACCTTGTTCTAACACTTCCTTTTAAAATACTGTTGACCCAATTTAATATGTTAATCATCATAACTTGATTTTATTGTATTTTTTTAACCTCAGCTATTTGTTTGTGCAAATAAACTCATTCAAAGAGAAGTTTATAGAACAGAAGTTTTATATGCAATACTGATTAAATTTCTTTTCATTTTGAGATTTTATTGAAAGAATGCTGTCATCAAGGCTACGTTTGATGAACAACACAATGATATTAGTAAATAAACTATGATAGTGTAATATTAGTTGTTAATATACATGCATAGAGTCAGTATTAACTTTCTGTAGAATTGTATTAATAATAATCTACACTGTATAAAATTCTGGGTTCCACCTATTTCCTTCATGTTGTCCCAACACAAACTGATTACGTTAACTTAATCGTTATTTTTTTATTTTTATTATTATTATTATTATTTACAAATTTAAGTGGATTGAACCTAAAACAATTAGGTTGTCCCTCGAAAAAGTAATTATGTTGATTCAACTCCTTTTTAGTAAGTAGTTTGCACTCAAATACTTTTTTGGGTGTAATAATGTGTATAATGTAAAATCAGCCTGATGTTAATCAAATAATAAACATACTGTATAAATAGTGATTAATTATAATTAACTTATATTAATAGTATAAATTAACTATAGTGCTATGCTAATATAATAAGTGCTGTGAAACTAATAATCATTGATGCATGTTAATGTTAGACAGCCATACTTATGTAAGGTGTTATCGTTTTTATTAGTTTCTATTGTGCAACTGCATGATCCTTACTCTCACACACATAACTTTGTAATGTTCTTCTGTTTAGATGGAGGGAGACACAGAGAAATGTACATCACAGATGGAGCTGATCTGGACATAGAGGACAGTGATGATGAACTTCCACATATGAAATTGTTTTTTAACCAGAAGCCTTTTTCTTGCACCACTGAATGTGGAAATGGTAAAGTTTCAGGTCTTGTCTTATCAAAAACCACAGGAAACCAACCATATGGGTGCAGTTAAAAGCAGTGTCATTGTATGTTCTCAAATGACAAACAAAACTGACAGATAATTGGGGGCGAAGCTGTGAAGGCACTTACTGTAAATATTCTGTTTCTTAATCTTCATCATCATCTTCTTCTTCTCCTTAAAGCTATACAATTTGACACACTAGCTATGTTTCCAACCAAATATGCAAATCAAGCTCAAAACTGGAATATTGCATCGTTTTCTTCTTAGAGAACAAAATCACTTCCTGATAAACTAGCGCCAAATATATAAAAAAAAAGAAAGCTGCTGCACTAGGAGAAGACCTTTTTTGTACACGCACTGGCCACTTTATTAGATAGACCTTACTAGTACCAGGTTGGACCCCTTTTACCTTCAGATTCAACAAGGTACTGGAAATATTCCTCACAGATTTTGGTCCATATTGACATGATAGCGTCATGCAGTTGTTGCAGATTTGTCAGCTGCACATCCATGATGTAAATCTCCTGTTCCACCACATCCCAAAGGTACTCTGTTGGACTGAGATCAGGGGCCTCATGTACGAAGACTTGCGTGGAAATCTTACTAAAACATTGCGTACGCACAAAGCTGTAAATGTGCGTACGCAGAAAAAAATTCAGATGTATGAAACACTGCGTACGCCGAATCTCACGCATATTCTTTTGTACATCCGAATGAACGTGAAACTGAGCGCAACATGCACGAGCACAAAACCCCTCCCTGCCTCCTCCCCCGTATGAATATGCTAATGACTATGCTAATGGAAAAACCCAACGAAAAAGCAATGGCAAAATCAAGCAAAAAGAGAAACTTTGAACAGAATGTGAATTGGAGGTGCTGCTTTCGGAGGTAGATCGGAGAAAAGCGGTGTTATTTGCAAGTTTGTTTTTCGGAATTAACAACAAAAGAAAAAAAAAATAGAGTGGGAGAGTTTAGCTGATGCGGTTGACACAGTTGGGTCTGAACATCGCACTGAGTGAATTAGAAAAGAAATAGTGTGATTTATATCTGTAAACTGTTGCAGCACTCTGAACAGTCTCAGTGGCGCGCTCGTAAGATGCATGAGATCATGTTTTGACACGTTCGAGCATGAACTCGGCTCGAATCCAGCGTCTGATGAACTCTATCTTCTTTTTTTCCCCCCGCTACATATCATATTTTGCCTACTATTTATCACAAGAAAGACTAGTAGGAATCATCAATAAGTTTGTGCATCATATTTTATTTGCACATTTATTGAATGGAAATGTTTCTGATTCACGCTTGCAAATTCATCTTCAGATAGTGTCTTTATAGCAATGTGCGTGCAGTAGATCGCTCAGATTACATTGGGAAAACAGGCGACCGCTGCAAATTGTGCTTTAATGTTTAGCTGGTCAAATGTATGGTATGGAAATCTTACATACCTACTAGATGAACCCGTCTCATACAGCTGCCATTGCAAGGCTCAGACACTTTGTAGAGAAGAATTTAACACAACTGCCTCTAGGAGTCGCCAATGGAAATAAAACAGACACGCACAAAAAATGTGCGTACGCCTGCCAAAAAGCTGCCGTGAACCTGCGCACATTCCCACGTTCAGTTCATTGTTAGTAAATCCAAACGTGAGCGATTCTGAGCGTGAAACCTTGCGTACGCAATGTTTTTGTGCGTACGCAGCGTTGATACATGAGGCCCCTGGTGACTGTGGAGGCCATTTGAGTACAGTGTACTCATTGTCATGTTCAAGAAACCAGTCTGAGATGATTCGCGATTTACTGTATGACATGAGGCATTTTGCCCCATTCAAGCAGGGCTTCAGGGTCAACGCTTGACAGAGGGCGTGTCTGAAGTTGAGGCTGACGTGATCGTCATAGCAGCATCAGCCAATGAAATTAGTCTGCAATAGGCCAGCGATCTGATTTGCTGACGCTTCCGTCAGTGTGTAAAAAGTTGAGCAATTCCCAACTTCTGCAGCGAGCAGCGCCTCTGAAGCGGCACCTATTTAGCTGTTTAATTAATTAGGCTTATTATTTTAGCTTAAAGTTATGAAATGATAATAAACATCATTTTGTCTTCTAAAAAATTAAAATTCACTAGATGGGAATTAATCGATGTCTTTATTTGCACAGATAGAGGAGATGAGTACAGTTTAGAGATGAGTGTTGATGAGCCGGAGGAGATGTTTGTGGATGATCCTGAAGACGTCCTGCGTTTATTTGAGCTGCTGGAGGGAGTATCTGTGGATGATCCTTTACTTCTGCCTATTTCACAATGGAAAGGTGATTTCAGCTTCTGTAATATTAAATACTGCTGAAAAGTCAAAAGATTTTTTATAATTTATTTTATTTATTTGGAAAGAAATTATACTTTTCATCAGCAAAGATGCATAAAACTGTTTGATGATGATGATGATAATAATAATAATAATAATAATAATAAATGTTGCTTGATTTCTGAAGGGTCACTAAAGACTATAGTAATAATGCTAAAAAAATCAGTTTTGCCATCAAAGAAATAAAATTACATATTAAAATATTCAATTATACAAAACCATGTTAGACTGCAATACTTATTTTTACAATATTTAAATTTTTACTGTATTAACAATAAATAATAGCAGCTTTGCTGAGTCTGAGACTTCTTTCCCAAACACTCTGACTCCAAACAGTTTTTGAACCTGTTAAAGTATCCATTTGTTGTTGAAAAGCAGTTCAAATGTGCCTGATTTTCTGATTCATGAAGGTTTTTAGCAAGTTACAGTAGTCCTATTCTGATATATATATATATATATATATATATATATATATATATATATATATATATATATATATTTTTTTTTTTTTTTACTCTTTTTCAGATCTCACAGAAATGAATGACATATGACCATCTTATTCAATCATCACATCAACCAGGAAGTCATGCACGAAAACACAAAAACAACTGCAAACAATTTTTTATTTTTTTTAACAGCACGTTGATACATTCCTAAACTTGTAATTTAAATTTCTTGTAAAAAACATTAAATAAATATTTAGCAAATCATGAATGTTTGTGTTGTGTATGTATAATGTTGGGAACTTTAATTACCAAAAAACGTGCACAGACCGAATTCTGGAAATAATAATAATAATTCCTTACATTTATATAGCGTTTTTCAAGACACTCAAAGCGCTATACACAATGGGGGGAATCTTCTCTTCCACTAAACAATTAGTTAAAAATCTGCTCATTGTGTCATCATTGATCATCACTGTACATGATTTTCTTTTTCTTTTTTTTAAAGCAAAAAACCCAGAGTCATGACATATGCATATTTGCATGAGTAAGCTTTCTATATATTAGTTACATTCATCGAAGAAGAAGGAGTAGTGGGGTGGAGCTTGAAAGTTTTTAAAGGATGCAACCTAAAGTCTGTAGGCATATCTCAACGATCAAAATGGACCACAATGGCATCACTGTAATGGTGAGTAATGTTTGCTTATTTCCTTTTTTTGCATGAAGTGTTCACGTAATTATTCACCCACAATCACTGAATATTCATCTTTCATCTAAGTTCAAATCTTAATATAGTAGTTTATGAACTGTTTTTCAGCACATGCGATCTAGTTTGTAGGTCGATAGTGATAGAGAAAACAGGAAGTCTTGCCTTAAAAACCACATATCTTAAATCATCATCAATGCATCCTCCATAACATTCTTTTGTTCAACTGACATGCCCACCATGATGTCTGTTATTATACTAACATATTAATATTGCAAAAGTACATAATTATCTACATCGAGAAATAACCATGAACCAAAATTCAGTAATTAAGTTGTAAAAAATAGTTTGTATATTTTTCAAAACGTCCAGTTGCTTTGCTGTCAGTTATTTAGGAGTCTGAAATTTGACTATATAATCTGTGTTTGTGTGCTTTTTTGTGTGTGTGTGTGTATGTATGTGTGTGTGTGTGTGTGTGTGTGTGTGTGTCTGTGAAGATAATTCGTGTGATTTATACATATTTATAAAATACAGCCATAAGTAGGGCCAGACGGAATCCCCGGACGCTTTATCTGTGGAAAATTTTGGTAAAAATCTGTGGATTTCTGCTGAATTATTTTGGGAGTATGACTAAAACCTTAATATGTGAAATTAAAAAATATATATATATTTAACTTTTATTTAATGTTTAAAATGCAAATCCAATTAAATTTATTTGGTAAACAAAGCAAGTCTCTCATATTGTTGTGATGAGTCAGAAGGCATTGAATCCATTTGCAAGCTTTATTAAGAGCACACATACAAACAAACACAAAGGGGCAATCCAGGAGACAGAACGTGGGACAGGCAAAAGTTCAAAGGCAGGCAGATATCTTACTGGTCAGAATAACAGGCTGGAGATCAGGGGCAGGCAGATGTCTTTCGTAATCGTAGAACAAGCACAGGGTCAGAAACACAGATCAGTCCGAAGCAGGGAGTATGAAACGCTCAGAAATGACAGCCAGGCAAATCAAGACTTCGCAACGAACCGGAGCGTGAGTGTGGTATATATACACGAGAGCTGATGAGTTGCACCTGGACCGTAATCAGTGCCAGGTAGCAGGGCTTATGGGATTTTGAGTCCGTGAGTCGAATCAGAATTCTGGCGATGGTTCCCTCTGGTGGTGCACAAGAGGGTTGGCATCGCCCTCATTTACAACACATATAATATATCTACTAAAAGACAGAAAATAATACATTACAAACTGCATTGTACATAAATCAGATGAACATTTTTATATAAGTCAATAATATTACTGTAATTAATTTAAAAACTCAATAAATGTACACACATTTACTCAAGTAAATCAACAGAATTAATGATGGGCTAAATATCTGCGGAATTCTGCTTTCACAGATTTCGTGTGGGCCTACTCATAAGTAATTGTTTACTTATAGTAAAAAAACATTTATTGTATAAAATCATATGCAAACATTTTAATCTAAGTACTCAATGTATGTTGTGGTGTTTCATAGCTAAAAATACATAAATAAGATAAAACACATGTAATACAACCAAGTTAACCATAATCATTTCCATTTTAAAGCCCTTCTCATTCATATCCACAAACAGTTGCATATATCTAGCCTAGCTAAACTTAACACTACCAACGCAAATGGATAATAAACAAGTGTGAGTGTGTGTATGTGAACTTGATTTTATGTTCTGGGGCAGAACTGAAACCTAAATGTACCATTTGTGGGGACTTATGTTACAGTGATGATCTAAACACTTTACAATAAGGTTGTTTAAGTTAATATTTGTTAATGTATTTACCAACGTGAACAAACACAGAAAAATGCATTAGTTACATATGTATTCATTCATGTTTGTTAACGTCAGTGAATGGAAATACAGTTGTTCATTGTTAGTCCATGTTAACTCAGATTATTATCTAATTCAGATCATTTCTAATATCTAACTCCGACATGACCTAATGTTAACTATGAATTTGGATGTTAATAATGCATTAGTAAATGTTGAACTATGATTAATCAACGCTGTACAAGTATTGTTCATTCTTAGTCCATGTCAGCAAATACTTTAACTAACTGTCACGGTCTGGGGCGGATGGAGAGGAGGCGAGGACCCAAATGCAGGAATTGAAGGTTTTATTAAGAAATGAAACAAAAACAAAACTCAAATCTCCCCATGTGGGGAAAAACACAACATTATCATACACTTAACTAGACAAGATCTGGAACTTGGCAAGACACACTAGGTTAGACCAGAAATCAGCAGACCTCATAGAACAGGGAAGGGAAGATCAACAATCAATAACGGACCAGCACAGAACAGAGCATACTAGGAGAATAAATAGGAAAGACAAACCAATAACCAGACAGGCGGACAGGTGAAAATGATAATTACAAACAAGGTAACAAGGTGGTGGGACAAGACAATAGACGGGAGAGCGCATGACACAGAGAGACAATACAAGCCATGCGCTCACATAACACAACACTGAAGCACACGACGAAAGCACGTGACCACAATGTAAACACCGAGCCACGCGCTTTGACAAAAGACGCAAGACACGAGCACACGATGAATGAAAACTCACCATGCGCTCACATATGCAGCATGCATGCTTCATCCCAGCGCCGACCAAAACCGAAACCAACAAGACTGAGACGCTGGGAATGAAACACCATGCTGCTGACAGACGAAAACACAAACACGAGTACAAGAGCGCACGCGTCTAAAGCCTGATTTATACTTCTGCGTCAAACACCGGCGTATGCTACGGCGCTGACGCATAGCCCTTCGCCGTGGCCATCGCCATCACTAACGTGCACCTCTCAAAAAATGTAACTACACGTCGCAACGACGCGTAACGTAAGCTCTGTGATTGGTCGGCTTGGTAGCGCTGACGAGTCTGGGCGGGACCGAAAGGCGCGCGAATGGCGCGACGCCGCGCGAGCGATTGTTTACAAGTGTGGAGTCCCGTGAAGGAGCTCCGGATGGAAAGTTTTGTTTTGTGTTTACCTCATAGTTAAAGTTGTTGCACGTCCGCCGGTTCCAGCCGACACTGGAGGGCGCTCAGGGGCTGGAGCCGACACTGGAGGGCGCTCAGGGGCTGGAGCCGACACTGGAGGGCGCTCAGGGGCTGGAGCCGACACTGGAGGGCGCTCAGGGGCTGGAGCCGACACTGGAGGGCGCTCTGGGGCTGGAGCCGACACTGGAGGGCGCTCTGGGGCCAGTGGCGTAGCGGACGGGCCCGCAGGGCACGCACCGCGGGGGGGCCCCGCGTGATTAGGGGGCCCCGCGTCGTCGTGATTTTCAATAAACTGTTGGGAAAAACTGTGGTCGGAACCAAAGTTCACACGTCTGTGTTCTCTGAACACCTCTCAAGCGGTGGACTACTTCATTCTGATTGCTTGCAGCCAATGTTGCCAACTTAGCGACTTTGTCACTATATTTAGCGACTTTTCAGACACCCCTAGCGACAAATCTAGCGACTTTTTGTGCGTTATTGGAGATTTTTTAGACTGTCATTTGTCCATACTGTACCGTCCCTACTCTTCTCAACGAGCTGCGTGTGATGCCGTCGGCCCCTCCCCCGCCTCACAGCACTGACAGGCGGCCCAGTCAGTCCTCGTACAGCAGCCTCTCCCACCTGCAGCCCGAGAGCAGATCACCCCTCTGCGTACCGACGACAAATGATTTAGCACAGGCAGTGTGAAGGTATTTCGCTTGTACAGTCAAACCGATCTACTTCTACTTTATTTTAACAATTTATTTGGACCGTTTATTCTTTTCTTGTTCACAATCACAGATATTTTAGTGACAGTTTCTGAACTTGTCTGAGTTTATTTTATATGAGAGATTACTGCACATTCACTAACGTTACACATCTATAATGATATACTGTATTCAAACAGCAAAAAATTTTTAGTTAAATAAACATGCTTATATAAAGTGTAGTGCAATTATAAATACCCCTTTATTAACCATAGGCTGTTAAACAGAAACGGTAGAACGTGATGACGTCAGTGATATGCAAATTGACGTATGACGTACCCCCCCCCCTTCATCAGGGGCCCCCGTCAGATCCCTGCAGGGGGGCCTCCGCATTTTGCGCTACGCCACTGTCTGGGGCTGGAGCCGACACTGCAGCAGAGGTCTTCCTCTTTAACCTTTGCTTCTGAGTGCGGGTCAGCCCTTGAGGGCTGGGCATGGGCTGGGAGGCGGCGCTGGTGGTGGTGGTGCGAGGAATCCTCTCCTCCTGAAGGATCCCTTTCTCCTGCTGCTGAACCATGTGATCAATAAACTGCTTGTATGACCAGCTCACCATTCTCTGGATCTGCAGAGGAAGAAGGGGCTTGTCCAGAGCAAAATTAAGGTGGGTCATAAGCAGCCAGTCATTCAAATTCAGACCCTCAGCTGCCATGCGGAATTTCTCTGCAAACTCTTCCAAGTTTGAGCCACGTTGCTGCAGTGACTGCAAAAGCAGCCACTTAGAAACACGGCTAGCGAAGGAGCCATCTTCATTCCGCTGGGTCCTCATTCTGGCTGGTCCGTTCTGTCACGGTCTGGGGCGGATGGAGAGGAGGCGAGGAC